CCCCCCCCCGCCCCCGGTCAGGGCACCTGGGCTCCCTTCTCCATCTGGCACTAATCATCTCTACCAAACAGAGTTGTTTGTTGGTGGTGGTGGGTTGTGTTTTTTTCCGAAAATTCCCCATTAATTTTGTCCTGCCTTAGGTTTGTTTTCCTTTCAGTAATGCGAGGGGAATAAATTCATTTGTTGCTCACGGGCAAAAGCAGCTTTAACAACCAGCCAAAATCATCATTAGGCTGTAACAATGGTGGGTCACTGGTGAAATCTGCATTACTCCAAAAAGACTCAGTGGGCCTTCCCTCTTGGTCATGAACATGCCCATCTGCTTCTCTGGGCTCTCAGAGCACATCTCAGCACAGGCTGACAGCTCTTCCAAAAGCACACGCAAAGATAGAAGGCCACGTCGGAGAAGTGCTTAGGCTTGCTTCCTGATTTCTACTAAGTCCCCTCTGATTTTGTTTGTTTTGACCCAGGCACATGTTTATTTTCATAACTGAAGAGCTTATAACCTTGGACATTGAAAAGAAATACATTTTCTGTTTTCTAACTTATGATTGTAGCTCGTAGGTGGTTTGACTACCTTGGTTTGAGCTACGTGTCATTATGCTACAAAGTGGCCTGGCTCCTTTAAGAAGCCACACGTTGTAGACACAGAATCAAGCTGAGTCATTCACCCAGAGAGAGAATTAGGAACAGCTGGGGGCAGCTACTGGAGGTAAAAGCAGAGACGGAAAAGGAACACAATGCCTCTCTAGGAAATGTTCCAGTCCTCAAGCCCAAATGTGGAGGGGAAAGTTGCACAGGCACCGTCTTGCTCATGCTGACAAGCCCTGTGCACCGCGGAGCAAGGACACCCCCTGTGTTACTGAGCGGACTCAGGTATCCTGCAGCCAGGCGCCAGCAGGGGTCACGTGGGTCAGCAAGCTGTCACCCCCTCTGAGTCTGCAGGGTTTGGGGGTCTGTGCATCCCCCTCCTCATAAAATTCAGTGGCTGCTGAACACCTCCTGTGGCCCTTGAAAGAGTCAGTTGCTACCAGTCAGAATGGCTAAAACAAACAACTCAGGAAATGGCAGATGTTGGCGAGATTGTGGAGAAAGGGGTGGGAATGCAAGCTGGTGCAGCCGCCCTAGAAAACAGTATGGAGGTGCCTCCAAAAGTGGAAAATAGAGCTACCCTATGACCCAGCAATTGCACTACTGGGTATTTACCCCAAAGGATACAAACATAGTCAAAGGGGCACCTGCACCCCAATGTTTATAGCAGCAATGTCCACAATAGCCAAAATATAGAAAGAGCCAGATGTCCATCGACAGATGAATGGATAGAGAAGATGTGATACACACACACACACACACACACACACACACTAGAATACTACTCAGCCTTCAAAAAAAAAGATGAAATCTTGACATTTGCAAGGACATGGTTGGAACTAGAGTGTATTATGCTAAGTGAAATAAGTCAGTCAGAGAAAGACAGATACCATGATTTCACTCATAGGTGGAATTTAAGAAATGAAACAGATGAACATAGGGGAAGGGAAGGAAAAATAAAATAAGGCAAAAACAGAGGGAGGCAAACCATAGAGACTCTTAACTATAGGAAGCAAACTGAGTGTTGCTGGAGGGCGGTGGGGGAAGAGAAGGGGTAACTGGGTGAGGGGCATTAAGGAGGGCACTTGATCTAATGAGCACTGGGTGTTATATGTTAAATGATGAATCAGTAAATTCTACTCCTGAAACTAATAATACACTATATGTTAACTAAATTGAATTTAAGTAGAAAATTAAAAAAAAAGGAGTCAGTTGCCTTATGACCACTTTGTCCAAGTGACTGGAACCAGTTAGAGATGCACACTTCATCTCAGTGAATTAAAGGATGACATTAAAAATTGCAAACATTACATGAAGAAAATAAGACAGTATTGTCTCAAATGTGAAAAAGAATCTACAAATAATAAAAGACTAGGAGGACTAGTATTAAAGTTTAAAAGTGGTTATATCTGGGCTCTGGGCTTATGGGTCATTTTTATGTCCTATATATTTATTCATATCTTTTATTTATCTTTTACTTCTCAGTGTGGCACAAATTTCCATGCTCCATCCATCCTTTATTCAATAAATACTCCCTGAGCACATATTGTGTGTTTGGCACCTTGTAGGGGAAGAAAGCTGAGCAAGTGCCAAGTCTTTACCTTGATCTACAACCTCCCATGGGTCTGACATCACCAGCCCTTCCTCCTGGATCAGATGGCTGAGGTTTTATTCCCTTCCCAGGGCAAGAGCCCCTTGCAGGTCCTATAGTGTTGGTTGTGCACTCTCTCAAGTACAAGCAAGACTCCTTCCTGCCCTTCCTTCAGACCCTGTTCAGATGTCAGCATGTCAGGAAGGCCTTTTCTTTTCTTTTTTTTAACATTTATTTTTTTTAAAAGATTTTATTCATTTGAGAGAAAGAGAGAGAGAGCGAGAGAGCACACGCAGCGGGAGAGAGAGGGAGAAGCAGGGTCCCCACTGAGCAGGGAGCGTGATGTGGGGCTCAACCCCAGGACCCTGAGATCATGACCTGAGCCGAAGGCAGACGCTTAACCTACTGAGCCACCCAGGCGCCCCAGGAAGGCCTTTTCTGACCACCTGATATAATCATGCCCTTATCTGCTTTGATTTTCTTTATGACACTTGTCGATATGTATCTTTACAATATATAGTTGAACACTGAGCTCCCATCAAAATGTGTTGTCTTTGAGGAGCAGTCTTCAGTCTTGTTCATTGCTGTATCTCTACTGTCTAGACCATGCCTGGCACATTGTGGGCACTCAGTGAATATTGTTCTCTTCCTCAATGGAAAAGTTCTGATACGTGTTTTACATATATCAAGAATGAGTATCAGTACAAAAATTCAGGTGTTGAGAAATATGGTGTCTCTATTTTTTACAATAGTTTTGAAATTCTGACTCCAACACTGCTGGGCCAGCAGAAAATACCATTTCAGTTATTGTTCTGCTTCCTTCCCAACCCATTTTCAGGGGACGGGGGTGTCAGGATTCCAAGAGCCTAAGGCAGTGACAAGGGCCTCTGCTAATCAACCCACCACGTTCTGTCCGCATGGTGCCTTCGTGCCTGATGGCCATCTACTGTTTCTGGACAGGGCCGAGAACGTCAGTGCCTGTGGCCTCAGTTCCAGATGCTTCACCGAAAAGTTCTCCCTCTCTGGGGTCTTGCTCCAACATGGCCCCTGCCAGAAAGCGGAACCCACAGAAATTGCTCCTCTCCACAACTGGAGGGATTTCCTTTACATCTGTTGTTTCCCCACCTGTTTTTCCAAGTCCCTAAAGCTTTTCTCAAAGTTTACCCTCTCCCTGGGCCTCTGGCTCTTAGAAAACAAAAGCCAGAATCCTTCTGCTTCTCATCTTGCCACTTACCTCCCTGAAGCAAAGGACATGGAGTCTGCTACCTGCTCAAGTGGGGAATGGAAAGGGAGAACTTCAAACAACTTTGACACAAGTGAGAAATGAACATTACAGGAGTGGGACAGATAATGCAGAGAAGAAAGGGATTCCACAGAGGCGGGGGTGGGAAGAGAGAAACTGAGGCAAACGGAAGACTTAAGGTATCTTGCCCTTGTGAGTGAGCCTGGGAGGCTGGGCAGTATTTCCTTTCATGGCGGGTGATGGATAGAAAAAGAGGCCCAAGCAAGGAGATATGTTAGAGCTGGTGTAGAGCTGAAGGCAAATGATCTCGTCTGAGCGGATGTGTTTGAGCCATGGGAAAAGGAGTGCCCTAAAAGGTAGGTTGGAGTCAATCTGTGACAGGCCCTCAAAGTCAGGGCATTTTGATGTTAACTTGAATGTCCCTGGCAGCCACTGGGTCCTAGAGGGCGGAGATGAGAAGTGTGCATTAGAAAATGACATGGCACCTCTGTGGAGGATGGAGGGTGGTCGGGGCTGGTGACTGGAAAAGGCAGAAGTAGGGAGAGTGTTCTGCAGGCAGTAGCGTAGAAACAGGCAAGAGAAGAGCGATGCAAAAGATACTGCGGATGTAGAACAAGCAGGGTTGACCACGGTTGCATGGGAGAGAAAGGCGCAGAAAGCATGGTGATGGCGGGAATGGAGGCGCTCTCAGCGGAGGAGGGAAAACCAAGAGCAGCTACTGGTTTGCGGGGAAGGGTGACAGGCTGCTCATGTAGAATCTGAGTGTCCTGGGGAAACTTGGAGCTGTGGGGGAGGGGCGCTCAGAGGAGCAGTCATGAGGTGGGGAAGGATGCTGCAGCTGAGCACTGGGGTGGGGGAGGAAAACCAAGGGATCCCGGTTGGGATTGCTTTGATTGTCTCAGTAAAGCAGGAGGCAAGGCTGCTTGCTGAGAGTGAGGGGAGCAGTCCCTGGGTCACACTGGAGATTGAACGTGGACACAGTTGGGAACAGCACTGGGGAACATAAAAAGAGTCCGTTCCTGAGGAACAAAAGAACAGATCCATGCAACTGCAAGTTTTCTCTCCGTAAATACAGAATCCTTTTTTTTTTTTTTTAATTTATTTGAGAGAGAGAAAGAGAGCATGAGCAGGGGAGAGGGGCAGAGGGAGAGGGAGAAGCCGACTCCCTGCTGAGCTGGGAGCCCAATGTGGGGCTCGATCCCAGGACATTGGGATTAGGGCCTGAGCCGAAGGTGGACGCTTAACCAACCAACTGAGCCACCCAGGTACCCCAATACAGAATCCTTTTATGGTGGTTTTATGAAATCTGTCCAGGCAGATGTGAGAAGAAATAGCCTTTAAACCATATATCTGGTTTGAGGCATATATTAATGACATCATTCTCTGTGTTTCTGCTAGACATTCTCTCTTCCTTACATGTTATAGCATTCGTTAGAGGCTTCGTTTTTTGGGAATCTGTTAAGATGCCAGAGTCCGTCAGCATAGTAAACCTGGAAAAGTAGCAGCTCTTCATGGCCAGCAACCCCGACTCCCGTGCTGTCTTTCCCGGCATTGAACTTCTGTTTCCAGAGAAGCTCATCTTCACCTGCTCTAGTGCGGGCTTGTTTTCTGCCCTGGGCAGCTTCGGGCAGAGTGGGGGAGACAGCTCATCACGAAGACCAGTGGCACTTGGGGCTTCAAGGTCACTGTTGCATCTCTGACTGGAGCGGGTGAGAAAGGGGGAGCCGAAGACGCACCTCACTCCGGGGTGGGTGCCACGCGCCGCCCTCCACCCTCCGGTGGTGCGGGAACCCATCTTCCTTTATCCCCTTTGTTCTTTCCAAGGTTTTCCACGCCTCCCATGTCTCTCTAGATCTGGTGGTGTTTTTACTTGATGGCACCTCTGCTGGGGATTTAGGGCTTTGTATGAAGTGGGAAGTAAGAAAGAACAACGGAAACCTCTCTACATTCTCAGTCTCACCAAAATACCATCTTGGCTAAAAGGAGCGCTACTGCCCTCAGGATCCCACTGAGAATTGTTGGTACTGGTATTTTTAAGCCACCTGATTTCAGTATTCATACCTGGGCATAGCCTAATAACATAGGATTATTGAATTCTTGTTCTCATCTTTGTAATGTTTCCAAGTTGAGTAGGTGACTATCAACTCTTTCCTCCAGCCCAAGGGAAAAAAAGTCCACTTTTTTTTTTTTTTTTTTTTGAAAAGCTGGGAATCACAGAACATTTGGAATTGGGGGTTCAGAATCGCATGCTCCCTGGGCTGGAGCATCTTTCTCTTCTCTCCGACCATCCAGCAAAGGAAGAGGGTGATCTAGAAGCAATGCTATGTGGAGCTTGGTGTACTTATGAGGCCAAAAGAGAATTGCATTTCTCGTTACGTAGGAAACTAGAGCTTAAAGACCTGTTCAGGTGGTAGCCTAACAAATGTGAAGATTTTTCAGGGGCACAAGGGGTATATGTGAGGGGGCTGTGCCTTATTAGAGATCCCTTTTCCTCTGTCCCTCATAACCTGGGAAAGTACATGCTGGTGAAATTTCATCCTGAACAAACTACCTCAGATCTCTCTCCACTATTCCCTCCACCCTGTCCAAGATAAGCTCCATTTTCTAGTGCAACTTCACTTCGGGCCTTTTTTTTTTTTTTTAATAGAATCCGCATATTTTTTCACTTTTGTTTATTTTTGCCCCAAAGCCTTTGGCCTTTCCCTTCAGTGATTCACAGTATGGGACCATTTCAAAATGATCCGACAAGATGTTTCTCTTCCCAGGGGAGATGGGAAATGGGTAAATGACAGCCTATCCCAAGATGTCACCATGTTGCGTGCGGGGATTTTAATAAAGAAATGGCATCTCACTTGCCATCAAAGCCACTTGATGGGTGGACTTACAGGGAGACAACCTTCTAGATCTTTCCCTGATTCCACAGAAATAAGATGGGAAAACTAAAGCATGGTTGTTAGGGGTTTATTCATATCAGTTGATTATGGGAATCAGTCCTTTTACTTCCTCCGTTATCGAAGTTTAGGATAGGCATTTGAGAACTCAGATTTTGCAACAAAATAATTGAACTATCAGAGGTGGGAGGTTACAGATAAGAGGAGAGAAGGCAGAAGCAGGGCGTACTTGGACCCTCACCATCGCCCCGCACTTAACGCTTATTCTTCGGGCCTGTGCCTCTGGAGAGCCTCCACCCTTCCGCCACTCAGTGTGGAAAACTCCTTCTCCCCAGATGTAGCCACTCCCTCTTCTCTGCTCTCAAAGGGCTTTGTACTTTCCTCTGTTAGAGTACTTGGCATTCTGGGATTATGGTCATGTGTGCAGTGGTCACCCATTTTGCCCACATTTTGAGGGGCAGGGAAGTGGGCCCAATTTGTCTCGGTATCCTCACCACCCAGAACAGGGCCTGTCGTATAGAAGGTCTAATAGGGCACATCCTAATATAAGGTGGTGAGTGTGTAGGGGCCGGGGATTCAGGGGCATTTCTGTTCATAATGCTGACATGGGTGTCAGCGCTTTCCCAATCTCTTCAGACAACGCCCCTCCTCCCCTGTCCTCCGTTCTCTAAGCCTCCTATTTCCCTTTCCCCCTTTGAGTCACATAAGAAAATATAAAGTATCAGTAAAAGTTACTAGATGTATATGTAGTTTTTGATTACAAATATTCATTGGGATATTAGGACAATTACCAGCATGTATTTTCACTGCATGTCAAAATGTGGAGGCTGGCTTTAATCTTTCTACTGAGCTTTGACTTCTGCATATGGTGGACATTTTTTTAGCTCTTGGCTGCCCAGCCTCCAGGCCCCCGTTCTTCCAGTAACAACACCCTGGGGTTTTTTTTAGGGGGGGTGTAATCATCTCCCCCCATTGGGTGCAGTCTTGGTGGTACTGAGTTCAAGGTAGCCCACTGTCCCTTGGCCTGGGATGAGTTATTAGTGGTCACCACTGTGTAGAGTGTAGGGCTGCGGAGAGGAGGCTCTAACTTAATTTTTGCAATGAACAATTTGAAATTTAAAGATTTAAGGAAAAGAAAATATTTGCCCCAACGATCTGGCTAGACGCAATGAATTTTCCTGGTAAAACCATTTGAACAGCAACCACAGGCCTGGTCTGTCCTCCTCGATTGCACAGGGCCCAGGGGAATGCAGACAGTGCCACGTCACGCTCCCAAAGTTGCCAAAAATCCCTTGAAAATGATTGAACAGATGTCTTTTCTTAGGGTTGAGCAGATATACGACACAACAGCCTGCTTTCAATTCCAGGCTTGTTGTCTTAGGGGCAGCAAAATCAATCCCTTTCAGGTTTGTTCTCTGAATGTTTTTTAAATCTTCAGAATTCTCATCGCAAGAGCCCCTACGTATGCAAGAACACGAAACACATCTGGGCGGGTCACTGTTTCGTCGCGGGCTGCACACTTCCTGGGTGATGGTGGCATGGAACGGGCCTCCCCCAGTTGTCCTTGCAGCTGGAGCTCAGCGAGAAGTGGTTTCTGAGCTTTGGAACCAGCAGTTTCAATGGCATGAACACAGACACACGGCCCCTGAATCACCCGCACTAAGAAGGGGGGGGGGGTCTTGTCATTCACCAGCACAAAGGAAAAGGACATCGGACTTCCTAAAATAAACTGGGGCTCAAGTCAAGCGGTTTGTCACAGGATCTGTCCTTGGGTGTCTGGCCTTCTATCTATTCTGTTTTTGGTGGCATGGGAAAAGACGACTGAAGAACTGCACATAAATAATTAAATGACAGCTCTCAGTACTTTTCAGAGAGTCATACTTTACGTTAGTGCCTCTTGGGTGGAGCAGATATTGCATCAAAATATTTCCAGGAATTTTGTTTACACAACCTTCAGAATAAAGTGCATTATTATTATTTTTGAAAGATTTTATTTCTTTGACAGAGAGAGCCAGAGAGAGAGTGAGGGAGCAGAAGCAGGGGGAGCAGCAGAGGGAGAGGGAGAAGCAGGGTCCCCGCTGAGCAGGGAGCCCGACGACGTGGGGCTTGATCCCAGGACCCTGAGATCACGACCTGAGCTGAAGGCAGACGCTTAACCGACTGAGCCACCCAGGCGCCCCTAAAGCGCATTTTTAATGAGGATACACACTTCCTGACCCCAAATGGGTCACTGACACTTACCTGTCATATCCAGTTGAGAAAGAAGTTGGGGATCAGGAGGCAGTATGTCTCTTGCATGGAGAGAGGATGGAGTTGAAGGAGAGACACCCGGGTTTGCATCTGGACTGGCCTGCCAGTGGCTGTGGAAACTCAACCAGTCTCTCTGTATCGATGAGGGGCACGACCTCATCTGTGGAATGGAAAACCATTTCCCTGGTGATGTCTTGGTGAACCTCTGGTGCATTTTAGGGGCTTAGAAAGGATAGCTGTTATTATTACCTCTGATTTCACAGAATTAGGTATGGACAGCTCAAACAGACCCCTGTTTTGCCATGCGGGAACAACTCAGGGGTCAAGGCTGGGCATTGCAGACCTACCGCATGGGCCTCCCAATAGACAAGCCCATTGCAACAGAAGTGCTTTTCTGCATCCTGACAATTGCAACCCAAAGGTCAAATGATCTCACTCCCTGCTCCTGGCAGAGCGTTCAGCACGCCTCCCTTGCCCTGCAGCCCTGCTTTCTCTGCACAGTGCGGGTGGGGAAAGCAGTGGCTGACTTTGTTCCTAATTCCGGGTTCTGCAGAATTCCGGCTTTCTCTCATCTCAGCCAGCATGTGGCCAGTCCCCTCTTTTACCTCCTCCAACCCCTCCTTTTCATGAATTTCTGGCACCTTCATCACTCCGCTGTCAGGCTGCCCAGGAAACCTGAACACTCCTGGGATTTTGCTGAGCCTATTTAGTCCATCAGGACCTACTTCAGGGCTCTGCCTCTATAGCAAAATGACCCAAAGGGCAGTTCTTTCCCTTAGATTCTGGGGCCACATATATATATATACACACACACACACACACACATATGTACTATATGTTATATATATATTTATATTTATATATATAATGTGTGCATATATATGTAACATAAGCATAAAACTTAAAACATAAACATAAAACAAAAAACATAAAAATCCTGTCTTCCTCACACCCACCAACACCACCCAGTCCTTCCTCCGCTACTGCTGTTAGTTTCTTATTTATCTTTCCAGAGGCACTTACCCTTTATAAAATTTCTGTGCTTCTCTCCCTCCCTTCCTCCTTCTCTTACTTGTTTATTTAATTTCTCTTCCTTCCTTTCTTACAAATGAAAGCGTGCTGTATTGTTCTATGCCGTACTTTTTAAAAAAGATTTATTTATTTTTAGTGTGAGTTGGGGGGGGAGGGTGGAAGGAGAGGGAGAGTCTTTAGCAGACTCCCTGCCTGAGATCAGGACAAGAGATCACCATCTGAGCTGAAACCAAGAGTTGGTGACTTAACCGGGTGCCCCCCCCCCCCCCAGGCACATCACATGCCTTGCTTTTTAAAATTTTTTTATTATGTTAATCACCATACATTACATCATTAGTTTTTGATGTAGTGTTCCATGATTCATTGTTTGTGCATAACACCCAGTGCTCCACGCAGAACGTGCCCTCTTTAATACCCATCACCGGGCTAACCCATCCCCCCAACCCCTCCCCTCTAGAACCCTCAGTTTGTTTCTCAGAGTCCATCGTCTCTCATGGTTCGTCCTCCCCTTCATTTTCCCCTTCCTGCTATCTTCTTCTTTTTTTTTTTTTTAACCTGTAATGTATTATTTGTTTCAGAGGTACAGGTCTGTGATAGACACTGGGGAGGGTATGTGCTATGGTGAGCGCTGTGAATTGTCTGAGATTGTTGAATCACATGCCTTGCTTTTTTAACTTAACCAAATCGGTACATAGTGTAAGGCCACCTTCAGATGTGGACTTTTTCTGTCCTCTCAAACAGTGCTCTCCAAATCTTTATGTATCACGCCGTCATTTAAAAACTGCTGGAGGCATACCAAAAAAATATAATTATTCATTCATTTATAGAGTATAATCACACCACTACTGTGCTAATAACATTTACATTATAAAAGTCATCAAAATAGAAATTTTAAAATGATAAAGATGAAATTTTACATACTAAATTTTTAAAAACTGTATTTGATTTTTAGTAGTACAAAGTATTTTTGCTCCTTAAAATATTACTGTTGATATTTTTAACAGGATCAATGTGTTGCATATGCTTTGTCATATTTGAAAAATCTTGGGTCACCCTTTTGTGATACAGCAATTCAAGTTCTGGCCATATGTTCACTTCATTTTGACACTTGGATTCAAAGTCCATCAGAGCTGAAGCAGACAATTTACAGATGGAGATACATAGATCCAAATGGAAGAAAGGCCTCATTCAATGAGCTTTATTAACTCCCCACACTCATTTTTCAATCCTATCTTCTGCGCAAAGACATTTGTTGAAATTTTCCTTGATTTAAGGTTTTTGTTCTTTATCATGTGCAACAAAGTAAATGGAAACATTTCTAAACACCTGTTTTCAAAATGTTTTTGCCATAGGTTGAGTTTCTTTCGAAGAGAAATGACTTTCTCACTAACTGTTAAGAGTGGTACTTCAACCTTGAAAGGACAGATTGTGGGTTTCCTCTTTGTGTGTGTATGTATGTATTTATTTTTGTGTGTGTTTACTTTTAAAAACAGTATGTGCTAGATGCCATACTAACAATATCCACTCACCATGACAGAAAATGACAGCTCCTCTGCAAACACTTGTCCTTTTGTCAAAGAAAGAATACACAACTCGTTCCCAGGTTCTACAGCTCCTTTAAATACACTGCCATGAGATGACCACCGAGGTACCTGAGGCTGATCTGCCATTCCCCATTGCAAGGCAAAATGCTATAAAAATCCTCCAATTTGAAGGCTTTGTTTTTATGAAATTAATCCCATTTGATGGTATCCTATAAGCATGGAAGTTGCAATTGGCAATAGGCAAGACCCAGAACCATGAGAAGGTCCCTCCCCTCTCCTCCCTGCATCTCCCTCTCTGTGTGTACATTGTTCATGGTAATGGCAGCCATGTGAGACATCAGACTGTCTCATGTTTGGATCAAGAGGTGGCATCTTAATGGATTGTCTTGAGTGTCCCATGGAAGGCGTGTACCCCACACGAAGATTCTCTACGCAAGGACTCTCCGAGTGAATTCAAAAACTTGTTTTCCTTTAGTCTCTGAAATTCTCTTCCCTCCCTTTTAAAGTAAAATACCTGCCAGATTTAGTCTCCACAGGACTATACCCTCAGGGGAGTTGGCTAGGGTTGCTCTGGGAAGGCTTGGCAGGTTGTCCCTCGGACGGTCCTATGCCTGGGACAGCAAGATGATAAACATGACAGCATCTACAACTTCTATTTATTGGGCTATTATTTTGTGTGGGTCCCTACTCTAAGTGTTTCATAAATACAGTTGATTCTCTTTGTTCATTCTAGTTCTCTTCTATAACATCTCCCCAAATACTGAATTGATGAATTCTGAATCATTGCTCCTAGGGGAAATACAGGATGTGGTTCCTACTAGCCTCTGGTCACAACATTTTTGTCAACCGATTAGTACATAACTTTGTTTTATGTGTGTTTCTGTTTAAGGATTTTATTTATTTTAAAGAGAGAGGGAGCATGAGCGGGGGAGGGGCAGAGGGAGAGGGAGATAGAGAATCCCAAGCAGACTCCTTGCTGAGCGCAGAGCCCATCGCAGGGCTTGATCCACAACCCTGAGATCATGACCTGAGCGAAAACCAAGAGTCAGATGCTTAACTGACTGAGCCACCCAAGCGCCCCTGTGTGTGTTTCTGTTTAAAGAAACCTTATCAAATGTATGTTGTTGCTTTGTTAATATTGAATTCATGGCCAACAGCACTATAACTTGTGCTTGAATGAAGACTATCTAACAGACGTACTTTCTCCGTAAGGCACACCACAGCCCTCTTGCACTGAGGAACTCCAGACAGTTTTTCAGCACTGTTTAGGAGCCCTTTTAAATAAAAAAAAGTACCAATAAAAAGCACAAAAATGTAGAAAAATGTGGCACTAGACTACAAAAAGAACACCTGTTTGACCGTGGCTGAGAATGTGCACATTGGGCAACTCACATTTTTTCATCACTCCGCCCATGTTCGCAAATGACCATACAAGTGAGCAAGTATTGATTTTGGGGTTACAAATAAATTTTAGTGAACAGGTGATACAAATATGGAATCTATGAATAATGAAGATCGACTGTAATATCTCATGGTACCCTTGTGAAATGGATACTAGTACAATGATACGTGAACTGAAAGGATCCTCAGGAGTCTCTGTCTTCTTTGAGACTTTGGGAAGCTAGGACAGTGAAGTGACTTACCCCAAAATGTCCAGGGCACACACATGGCACTAAACTCCTGCTCTCCCAGCCACAGTTGGTGCCCTTTCCACTGCATATTTTTGGGACCAAATGCAACAATTTAAATGGCAGGTGGGGCTATATGCAAAACTCTTTGCACATTCCCCCTAGCTTATTCTCTGCAATAATTAAAATCTGTTTTTGATCAGAATGTTTGATTTGATGTCTGGTAGTATAGGGGCACAGTGAGAGATATCTATAAAAAAAACCCCACAAAGGGAGATCACCAACCTGAATGAAATCAGGCACAAAATGAGAAATTAAAAGAACCCAAAATATTTGCAGCAAGAACAGGCTTTGACTTTTCAAATTTAGTTCTCCAGTGAGCCAATTCATAAATGGGTAAAATGAGAGAAATAATGTTGAAAAAGCCAAACGTGCTGGGGAATTTCAGAGGTGAGAGCCCATGTTGCATAAACAGGAGGGATGTGCCAAAATGGGGTATTTTAGTTGGAAAATTACTAATGTATGCATATTTATAAATGTATGTATTTGGATGCCAGATTGTCTCAAATTTTTTTGATATTCCAACAATTATACAAAATCAGTTTGTTCCTTATTTGGCTTAAAGAAGTACAGAATTTAAAATGGCTCATAACTCATGCAGCCTGCAGGCTGTTTGATAAACGTGTACACTTGAAATGAGCCAAGACACTGAAAAACCAAGAAGCAAAAAACAAAGAAAGAAAAGACGAAGATTCAGTGTGTTCTTTGAGTAAGAACCTCTGCGTATCACCAATTGGTACATTATGACTTTTATACATAAGATTTCTATTTCAAAGAATTCCAAGCTACCTTTCTTGCTAAGACTCTCCACATTCCAAAGTCTTGCCCACCACTATTATGACTGCACCCATTCCTCTGTAGTGATAATTAGATGCTCTTACCCAGTGTACTTACCA